AACCCAAACCATTCTGTGATTCTGTGAAAAAGATAAACAATAAAAACAAGTTCCCTAATCTGGGAAGAGAGGAGCAAAGCTGAGCTTTCTGAAGTTAGGTAGTCTCATGCTGGTTTAAACCGTGCCATGAGACAGCAGGTCCTGTGGAGCACTGACATTTTTCTATTTGATGTCTCTCCAGCAGCAACCACAATAGTTTTGTAGTCCAAGACTCACATTCTGAAGCTGTTACATTATGAAAAAGCAACAGCGATAATAATCATCACCGTGACCCAGAAGTTGCTAACACAATGCACAACTGCTCAAGTTCTGTAACAGACGTGGTTATGGAGCTGCATCAGTACAGCCATGCGATGACCGATATAGGAGTGGGAATAAGCCACGGGGTCCTGTAGCCTCTGGCCAAAACTGCAGGGGATTTTGCAAAGGCTCAGAAGTCTGAGAAAGTTAAGACTGTGCCCCACTGCTGAGCACTGTTGAGAAAGCATGAGCAAGCTAGTGTGCACACAATGGAAGCTGCTAATGTAGGCATAGACACAGGTTAAATACTCAATTTCCCACGCTATGGTTTTAAACAACTCTGAGGAACTTGTTTAACACTATACCTATAGAAAAATGTTGTAACACCTAAGTCTAGAGTTCCAGGTCAGAATTTCGCCTGCGGAATGAGGGCAACACAGCTGAAATAGAAACACAGCCTGTACTTACCTTTCCTCCTTCCATGTAAATAGTGAAGTAGTTGTTTTCCTTGCTTCCAGCATGGAGGAGTATACCTGTTGAAGTCCTTGGTCGAACAGTAAATACAATCTTAAAATCCAAGCCCATCAGCAAATTACCTGTGGAGACCAGTGGGTAGAGGAATGATCATAAGAAGAGATAATTGGAAAACTATGTAAAAAATAAATAAAAACATCCTGACACATACACCCTTAAGACATAATTCCATATGCCATAATCTCTACACATCTTACCAATGGTGATATATCCTCCCTCATTAAAGAAATAAATCCCTGTGTCCATGGGAACATCCAGACATGGAAGTACGCCATTTTTTTTCTGAGGTGCATTCATGACTTTTCCATTCATCTTAAAATTCCTCAGGCAACCCTTGAAACTGTTCGTTGGTATATTCTGAAAGTATATTTCAAAACATGAATACTAAAGCATGATGGCAATTTTTTTAGTAAGAATACCCATTAGCTCTTTTGTAGTGTTGGATTGTAGAAAGCCAACTGGCACTAAAGAGAAACCCATCTGAAACCTCACCTGAAACCCATCTCTGATGCAGTGAAAAGGTATTCCAACATTTAAAAAAAGAGCTTAAAACATGAAAGTAACAGTTGATTTTGAGTTAACATAACTCTTGCTTGCAGAACAGATACTTCCCAATGATGTGTCACAAAGACAATGCAACAAGAGTTGTGAAATCTCAAGTACACTCTTCCCTTCCTAAGAGGCCGTTTATTTAAATCTGATTTTATAAAATGCCCTGCATCATTAATAGTCCAATTTTTAAAGTGACAGGAACCACACATATTTCAGATTAAAATCCAGTCCTGCATTTGTAATTCCTTAATGAGAAGGATCCCTTTGCTTCTCTACAGATTATTGCTTAGTCCACTGAGGTAAATATTCTTTGGGAAGAGGGTATTACTGGAATTACAAATGTGACTTTTGTATTTTCTATTTTTTAAATAATAGAAAGGAAAATGGTACATGGACGTCATCAGTGTCTTGGCAACACACATTGAAAATACGGGTCCAGCTGAAAGCTGTGTTTACAGGTGAGGGAAAAGATCTGTAATGAACAACTGCAAACACCAGTCACAGATGGTGCTCACTTGGTGCTTGGAAATATCCCCCAAATCTTTTCAACATGGAAATCCTGCATATTAACACTTTCATGTGTAATTAGTGCAGCATAGGGAGTGTGTGGGGGTGAACGCATCAAATATTTACCTGTCCTTTCAGTGATGGCAGCCCTCCCACATAGATTGGTGGCTTAATGCTGATGGCAGAATTTGTTGCTAATCTTCCGTGCTGGGCCCTTAGACCATCAACAACAAGGTGGACATTCTTCCCATCTGTGCTGAAGACCACCTTTGCAGGGTGCAAACATAACAGAATGAAAAAATCCAAGGCCAATGAAAGCCACTGGAGATTTTTTTTCTTTAACTTAAATATCATACTGTTGAAATATTTAAAGTGAAAATAACATGCTGCGACCACCAGTCTCTGTAAGCTCTCTCATAACAGAGACCTGTCAACCACATGAAATTTCAGGCATAAGAATTAACTTCAGATGACCAAAATCGATTTTCTAATTACTTAAAAGTTCAATAGGCTGTGCCTGCTGAATGCTAGTTGTGGTTTCACCACGGTTCCTGTGTCATACTACTTACAGTGTGCCATTGCCCATCATTGTATTTAATACTGGTTTTGATTTTGATTCGTTTTCCTCCAGAGCCAAGTGAAAAGACAAAACGTCCTTTTGAAATGTGGAGAGCCATATAAGAGTCCTCAGACTTTTCCTCCATGAAAACTATTAACCCTCTTGATGATCGAGTCCGTACATCTACAGAAAAATGTAACCTGTAGTGGAAAGCAAGCATATGCAAATATAGGTCTGTTTTGGTAGCTGCTGTATTCTTTCTGTTCTCCAGAAAAATGCTAGTGAAACTGCATTTGTGAAATGCAGAATAGCTTTTAGGTGGAATCACAGTGTTCTACATTGCCTGCATTTCTGAATGTGAATGAAAGTTGATATATTCAGGCTTAGGACTTGGCATCAATATGCACTGTAATTGTCTACCACATCCAAGTCAATCTACTCAGTTTGTGTAAATGTTAGCAAAGAAAAAAATGCCTGAACCTTTAGAACCACTCTTCTGTTACACCCCAAGACATAAGCAAGAAGAAAATACGAGCTCTTAGCACCCAAAGATTCAAGCAGCTTTGACAATTCAAATATTAGGAGAACAGAGAACATTTGTCTTACCTGTCTGTAGATGATGGTGGAGAAAACATGTAGGACATGAAACTGTTGGGTGTGTTTCCAAGGAGATACGCTTCACTGCTGACATTTAACCAAGTTGGTGAAGTGTGGTTTTGCTGGTTTTGCACATTAGAGGCTTTCAAATAATCAAGGTATTTTTCACTCTGTACATGTAAGGCAGAACTGAAACATTTACTATGCATGAACACGAAAAAAACCCGTTTTCAATCTACACATTTAAGAGTTCCCACCTGAGGCAGTCAACAGCCTTCTCTAAATGAAAGAGAAGCTGTTGTCATTCTGGACAGGTATCGGTTTAGCATGGAACTTCAGCACAGAAAAGAATATGCTTCAGATGGGAAATGGAAGGAAAACAGCAACATCTGAATCTTGGTTCTACAAAGCATGGCTGTGCAGACAAAGCCTTGGCATCAATATGGAGCGAAGATGACAGTAAAAATAAGCATACCTTGAGCATCTTAAACCTGAGAGGATTTTTAAATTCTTTCAACAGCAGTGGTTGAAGGTTCTCGTATTTGTGGCAAGCTCCGAGGGACACACCAGTCTTTGCAGTATAATCAACAAGATTTTGAACCTCAGGGAGCTGACCTGCCCTAGAGTGATGAAAGCAGTAAGTGCTGTGACACAGCATTCCTTTTCTTTAGTGTAATCAACAATGTATTGTAAAACTGTGTTCTGTACAAAATAGATTTCCCAGGGACCTGATGTTAAAGTACCAGTTTTCATCTTTCAATGAAAAATGTAGGTTCAATGCTGTAAAAAGTATTCATGTTTGTCTTGGTTCTGCCCATTTCTTTTTGACTATGGAAAAAACTCTGATGTTTTGTTCTCATCTCTTCTAAACAAAGTATTTTTTGCTAAAAGCAAACTATTTTAAAAAAACAAATACTGTCATTGAAAAAAAGGGGGAAAATGACAGTAGCCTTGATTGAGTAAGATTTCTGGATCAGATTACAAACCTTTGCTGGTTAATTATGCATAACCAATGGCAGATCAAGAAAAAAATGACAACATCAGGATCTGCTAACTCAATGATTCACTCTCTCCTTAAATAAGATGTTCTAATGAGATTTGTCAAGGGGCAAAGCCCATCACAACTTAATATGTAGCTTTAACATTATAGCCAAATTATCAGAAAGACTGTCAAAACCAATTTCTTATGTGTATAAATAATAATATTAAGTAACACTATAATTTCATAACTTGTACACAGCATCTCTAATTAGAAAATTATAAAACACTTTACAATTAGAAAAAGCAACGAAGCTCCTTGCCTGTGGTTTTCTATGAGAAGAGTGGTAGAGTTGGGAGCAGAACCTGAACTTCTTCAGTTCCAGTCTAGTTCTCCATTCGCTTGATCAGACTAGCTACAATATTAATTCTCCATCTATTTTTGTATTAAAAGCAATTTTCCAAGTTTGGCTTCTGATGGGGAGGTGAATATACAAGTTACCTCATTGTCTTTCAGTATTTTAAATGAAGATATAATTTGAGCAACCTGATCTAGTGAAAGATGTTCCTGCCCATGATTCTGTGATAATTAAATCAAAATACAGTATTTTTTGTAAACTACACACATAGGATCATAGAATGGTTTGAATTGGAAGGGCCCTTAAAGATCATCTCACTTCAACCCCCCCTGCCATGGGCAGGGATACCCTCCACTAGACCAGGTCACTCAAAGCCCCATCCAATTTGGTCCCGAACACTTCTCTTGACTCTTTGAGTGTGACCATCCAGCCAATTCCTTATCCACCGAGTGGTCCATCCACCGAATGTATAATTGTTCATCAAAACTTAGCTACAACAAAGCCCACTGGTACATCACTTGTGACTCTAGGAGTGCTTTTCTTTAAAGAACATATTTATGCCTAATTTTTCTCCTAAACTTCGCTTGTAAGATGTCTCTAATAACCAGAAAAACACATGTGAAAAAAAGGGACAACAAATCAGGCACTTGATTTTTATACGTATATACCCTCATTTGTTTGTGTAACTGTTTTGGTTCTGCCAGCAAGGTTTGCTCATTTCACCACCTGGCTCCCTCCATAGCCATAAAAATACAGTATCTAGCAGATCCTTCTGGATGCCTTGTTGGGATACATCCGATTTACTATTTTGAGTTCATTCTTTGATTAAAAGACTACTGAACAGGTGTGATTCAGACTAAAATTCCATTACATCTGAGCAGCAGATTTACTTACAACTTGATGTCATGTATAATCCACCTGAATAAAAGAATATTTTGGGCCAGCAAAGTTATGCATTCATGAAGGCTTCATGCATGTAGAGGAAGAGGAATTTAGCAAGAAGTTATTTTAATATGATTAAAGAAGGAAAACAGGCCAAAATTCATTAAACTAAAATTTTTCTAGGCCAAATACCTTTTTATGAAGATGTTTGAGATGCAACCTTCAAAATCTTCTCCACCAAATTTTATGGGTTTGATTAATGCCTGTGTTTTTGAAGAATTAACCAATGCTGACATCACATTATTATCAACCAGCAGATACACTCTGAAACAAAGAGAATAAAAATAAACATGAAATCTAAAGAAATAGTTATGAACCTAAATGAAATATACATATATATATATATGTAAAGAACCATTTGACAGATGTGTTTTCTTGTTACATTGTAATTATGCTAGAGCTTCATCAACTTACTTCTGGGATTTTTTCAGCATGTGCTCATTGACTGCTATGAAACTACTATGTTTTTCAGTAGCAGATATTGAGCAAGAGTTGAAGCTAGTACTTCAGTCCTACAACGAAATCCCACTCCAACTGCAATTCATGGAAAAACTCTCATTGACAACTATGGGACAGGACTTCATCCTTTGTGTCAAAATGGTGCACTTGACATGTTAGCAACAGCTAGTACAGGTAATATTAAGTTATAATTACCCGAAGTTACAGGCAATCATTCAAAACTTTCCACTTTATGATTAACACTTATGTCATTTTATGTGTTCCACAGAAATCAATATGATTTAGGAGCTCTTCAGTAAATTGTCTCTTCTGATATCTATATAACAGAGTATTATTGAAAAAAACAGACACAATATTAGCTTCTTTCCTGGGCCTTTAACCTCCTGTGTTACAGTGACATATGTAAAGGCTATGGAAAGGGGAAGAGCTCCAAAGCTCCAGCTTGACAAGCTGTCAAAACTCACACAATCTATAAAAACCTTGCATAGTGATGTACAGCTGAAACATCACAGGTACCGACATGCACATTCATAGACCAAAAATCTCTTTTTGCTTCATTATTTCAGTATCCTTTGCTAGCAGAGGCCATTTCTAGCTGTGTATCCAAAGAACAAGTCACGCAAAATTTTAATCTTCTTTCTCCAACCACAACACAAAAGAATCAGGTAAAGAACTGGACTCACTTGTTTTGTATTTTTATTACAGTCACATAATGCATTGACCCATCTTCGTATTTATTTTTCACTTCAATTTCTGTCTCTCCCATCTTTGCAATTAAAACGCCAGGTGTCAGAAAGATGGTAAGAATATTAGGCTATAAAAGAATCCCACAAAACAATCAGGTAAATGCAAGTGCCATTAGTTCTCCTTGATATTGCCATTATACAGTTCTCAGTGGTCTCTTGTAGGAAAGAAATTTTCTTACACTAAAACTGCATTTCGCAGTCATCTTGTACCAGATAATTGTGCACCCAGTTCTGCACAATTAGCATAGTTCCTGTTTTAAAATACCTCTATGTTCTGAATACCAAACAGTTATTTAAAATACTTGTTTAAATTATTTTCACAAAAAGCAGAGGATTCAGTTCTCCACTTCTCAAATGCCTGGTGTGCTCTCACTTCTTAACTCCTCCAGCCAGTAACAATGGGGTTCTGCTTGAACCTCCTTGCTTTCTGAGGGAACATAGCCAAAATGTTCCTTTTTCCCTGCATATTTCATCATGGTAACATTTCTGCATGGGGGGAATGCCAGTTTTTCTTGAGAAAATTTCCAGCCAACTGTATTAGGCAACAGTTATCTTACTGGGATGGTGGTGTTGTGGTGCATGAACTACCCTGCAGAAGGCTCAAGTTCAAAGCTCAGTTACTGGTTGAACTACTTGCTGGTTGAATGAAGAAATTGCCAGGATGAGTTTCTCTGGCCTATGACATGCAAGATGCCATGCTCAAAAGATGATTATAATTGCCTTTTCTTGCCTGAAAATACAGGAATCTACTTGAGACTTATGACACAAACTTATGCCAAACTGGCATAGTCACAAACAGACATGACTGATCAAGAAATAAAACCAATATCACATACGCTAAGTTGAACATGTTTCATACCGATAGATCGTAATTTAAGAGTGTTCCAGTCAATGCCATGGTCTGAAAGCCAAAGCCAACTTGGAAATCGTCAGGAAATGGGAAACCCACTGCACTCAGGCTCAGTGTTCCCTTCTTGGAGAAAGCTGCAGATCTGACAAGCTGAAAGAGAGATAATAATGGTTTCAGTGATCTTCCTTTTAATCAGAAGAAACGGCAACATGGGACAACAACTGCCCTACTCAACATAATTGCAACCGACTCCAGTCAAAACCAAGAACAAGGCAAACTGCAAGTACAATTATTTCAGCACGGACTGACTGAATTGGTTCCACCAGCATTAACTATGATCTGAGAAACTCTAAAGGGAGATGAGGCTTGCTGAGTATAATGAGCTGTTCGTCTCTAGCTACTCTTTGCATTGATATGATGGCTTTGAAAGTTTTCACATTTGGGGACACAAAAGTGAGCAGCTGGAGGAATGGTTCATAAGTACAGAGCTGTGCAGATGAGCTACATAACTGAAACTGTGTGAGTCATAGGACAGAATATACCTGGGACTTTTTGAACACAATATGTTTAAATACATGAGACGTTATACAGATACAGAGAGAGAATTAAGATGAGACCCTCTGTTCTGTGAAAAGCTTAGATGCCACAAAAGGAAAGCAAATGAGCACAAACTTTCAGTGCAATGCCATAGTAAAAAGGGCAAATCAGAAAATCATACAATGGTTTGGGTTGGAAGGGACCTCAAAGATCATCTTGTTCCACCCCCCCTGCTATGGGCAGGGACACCCTCCACTAGACCACATCATTGCCCAAAGCCCCATCCAACCTGGCCTTGAACACTTCCAGGGATGGGGCATCCACAACCTCTCTGGGCAACCTGTTCCAATACCTCACCACTCTAACAGTAAAGAGTTTCTTTCTAACATCTAATCTAAATTGACCCTCCTTCAGCTTAAGGCCATCACCCCTTGTCCTATCACTCCATGCCCTTGTAAACATTCCCTCTCTAGCTTTCTTGTAGGCTCCCTTCAGGTATTGGAAGGCTGCTATAATGTCTCCCTGGAGCCTTCTCTTCTCCAGGCTGGACAGCCCCTAATCTCAGCCTTTCTTCATAGGAGAGTTGCTCCAGCCCTCTGATCATCTTCATGGCCTCCTCTGGACCCACTCCAACAGCTCCATGTCCTTCTTATGCTGGGGCCCTCAGAGCTGAACACAGTACTCCAGGTGGAGCCTCACAAGAGCGGAGTAGAGGGGCAGAATCACCTCCCTCAGCCTGCTGGTCTCACTTCTTTTGATGCAGCCCAGGACATGGTTGGCTTTCTGGGATGCAAGTGCACGGTGCCGGCTCATGTTGAGATTTTCATCAAACAACACCCCCAAGTCCTTCTCCTCAGGCCTGCTCTCAGTCCATTCTCCACCCAGCCTGTAGTTGTGCTTGGAATTACCCTGACCCATGTGTAGGACCTTGCACTTTGCCCTGTTGAACTTCATGCAGTTTGCATGCGTCCACCTCTCAAGCCTGTCAAGATCCCTCTGAATGGCATCCCTTCCCTCCAGCGTGTCGACCACACCACACAGCATGGTGTTGTCATCAAACTTGCTGAGGGTGCACTCGATCCCACTGTCCATGTCACCAACAAAGATTGTTTAACAGTGCCGGTCCCAATACCAACTCGCAAGGAACGCCACTCATGGAATCATGCACCCTGTCAGCAAAAGTAAGTAGAAGCTGAAAGGTAGTTTTCATCTCTCCATGAAACATTGGTTAAGCCAACAGTGAAACATCACATTGCCCCATTTTAAAAAGAACGTGGCAAAACTCAAGGGTGCACAGAAAATAATCATAAAATAATCAGATGAGTGGAGCAAGAGCCTTACACTGAGAGACTTTGGTGGAAGTAGAGTGTGCTTAGCTCTTTCAAGAAAAAACGTTGAGAGGTCATTTAATTAGGGAGCATAAGTACCTAGGCAAGAGGAAAGATCCTGAGTAGAACTAAGTAACTAAGTATTCTGGCCTAATCAGTCACAGCAACTGGAAGCCAACAAGTTTACATGGTAAATACAAATTCCTAATTGTACACAGTATTAATTAAAAGAGTGGACTATGTGCTGGAGCAAGTTATCACAGTAGGACTGGAGTCTCCTTTCTTCCATATCTTCATACCAAGCCCAGGTTCTTTTATTACCATCACATGTTAACCAAATTTAATTTTGGACCTAAGTAAAACATAATTGTCCAGCATTTATAGACAAACCAGACTCTGTGAACTCTAGCAGAAATTTTTAAGGAACTTTGTTAGTTACCTTCCAGTCATCTGAACATTTCTTGCTGACACCAACAGTCTTGTCAAAAATAACAGATGCAGTGTTGGGGTTTTTCACATTCTTCATGCAGCCCCGGAATGGAGGTGTGGATATATTGAAGCTGGTTTCAGGGAATGGAAGGAAAAACGGTTCAGTAGCCTGGTATTTCAAAGGACACACCAGTATAGTAGCCTGTAAATGCTGACAATATAAGAAATACAAAAACAGAACAAGAGCAATCTTGCACACACATACTTCACGCTGATCAAACCCAATCTTCAGGATACAGTCCAACAAAGATCCCACCATTAGCTAAAAATCACAGATTATGATCATGTATTATACACTGGTTATCACATAAGATACCCATTACAGAGTGTGAAAGAAATTGTCTCAGGAAAGAGTTTAGATGGAGTGTACATACAAAGCCTGTGTATTACAGTCTTTTTATAGTTACTCACCGTTCCCGTAGAGAAGGTGGAATTCCACCTAGGTAATATGTAGTGAAAGGGAAGACAGTTATGTTGGCTTTAATATCAGGACTGACATGAACAGTGTTCTTTTTTCGGGCAAGCACCAAATGAATCTGAAATAGGTGAACAATGAGAATTACTTCATGTAGCAGAAAAAAAAATCATTTAGCAGATTAAAAGTGCTCCCACAGAGCAGGACAATGTTTTTTTTTTTTACTGTCCTCTTTATTACTAGTTTATTAGTGCCTTAAATCCAGAATAATCACAGTAGTTCAAAGGTACTTTGCAAAATTTGGGCACGTAGCCAAAGCAAATGTCTAAGGAAAATGCTCTACTATTCAAATACAAGGTGAGGTTTTATTTTCCTCAGGAAGATTGCCCTAAAAATACGCCTCACCTAACACTCAGATATTGCCTTCTATTTGCTGCTGAAGATTCAGGAGCTGCTGTCTGATAGAAAGACCAGGTCAGTCAGCTGGCTGGAGGTAACTTGACCCAGTATGGCATAAAGACAGTTTCCAGCAGACCCTGAGACCTACACTACTTAGTGGGAGAGGTAGTAAAGGGGAAAAGGAGAATGAATCAACATGGCAATCAGAGGTTTTAACAATGTCTTTACAATTTCACTCTATTAGTGCTACAAAACAGATGGACTGAAGCTAAGTAGACAAGCAAAAACAAAAAGACTACAAAAAAGTAAGCTCTCTAAAGATCAGCCTGGCCTGAAGAAATAAACCCTTAGGTGGTAAAAACACTAATCTAAGTATTAAAATAATGTTAATAATTGCAATGTACACAACTCGCTCTAAATAAAGCAATGCTTTGTCAAAGAGTTTTATTCTTTGGTGGTTTTTCTGTTAAAACTGAACATATTAACAGGAAAGGACGACAGTAGAAAGAGTAATTTTCACATGTCCAAACTAATCCCCAACAGCTTGATCTCCTCAACACAAAAGGAAAATTCCACAACTAAACTTTACAACAAGATGTTTAGTTTCAGTTAATGTGTATTTTTACAAATGATGATCACTTGGTTGTTTAAAATGACATACTTGTTTATATGTTCCATCATTTATAGTTATCTTGTTTTCAATTTCTTTTGGAGGCTCAGAGTCAACTTTGTATCTAAAAACCGTATGACCATCTTTAATGAGCACACTGATGAACTGGTCCTGCAGTAAAAAAACCAAACACCAACACAATTAAACTGCCAACATTTCATATATATTTCATTGTCATGTGAATAATATTAATTAAACTATCTAGTTGCTTCAGTAAAGCTTTTGGGGAAAAAGATAACACAAAGCAGACTAAAATTTATAATAATCAACCATAATTACTTTGAACTGTTACAAACAGATCTGGTATCAGGTCCAGATGTATTCTTCAAATCTCTAGAGGACTTCTTGTCATTTCAAAATGTCTACTGACTCTTCACAGCACTGAGAAATTATCCAGAACATGCCACAGTGATTGCAAACATGCCTATAATATTATTATTAGAGAAGTAGCATCACTACTGTTTTGAGCACCTTTACAGGTATAAGTCCCCATGTCACTTTCTAAATTCTTCCTTACTCTGCTATCACTCATATCTAGTTTTGGGAAGAGTGCACTTCCACTTTTGCAGGATTTCAGTATTTCAAAATTGGTTTAATTCAAATTACATCCTCCTTGCCTGCCCCCAGTTCTGAATTCTCTGTATGGTCTAATGGGTGAGCTACTTGAAATAATTTTTTTCTCTGCCTTGACAAAGTGAGTATTCAGCAGCCATTATAGAATCATAGAATATCTCAAGTTGGAAGGGACCCATAAGGATCATCCAGTCCAACTCCTTCCTCCTTGCAGGACTACCTAAAACTAAACCATATGACATTAAACATACAGCAGAATCTACTAACTTGCCACATGGACAAAAATGACACTTTTAAGACATTTTCTTACAGTTATTACTAAATCTAACATGTTGTCACATAGGCAAAGTTTTTAAAAATGTTCTTGGATCACAAAACAGACAGAAGAATTCCACAAATTACCCCATTTGCTGCAAAAAACACAATGCCTTCATCTGCAGTAGTCTCAATTGTCTGCTCGTAGCGTACTTGGTCATGGGCATTTTGTTCTTTCAATGTGACACTGGCATAACCAGTGCCTTCAAAATAGCTTTGGTCAGTCTCTTCTTTATACCTGTAATAATTCAATGTCAGAGATGTCAAAATATTAGAGCAAAAACTACTACCACACAGACTTACTGTCATTATAATTTTAAAAAAGCTTAAGTTAAAGCATTTGGTACAGGGCCACTAATAGGGCCAAATTCTGATCTAACCCAAGCAAAGAGAAAACCTTCCACTTGCTTCTATTTGATTTGTATATGGTCTTTAGAGAGGAAATCATTAGTGACTGACTTTTTTGCTTTTAATGTAACATTTACTTTATAAAGGAGCTGAATATATTAGTCCATGAATTGTGTCTGGATATTGTAACATTTAAACTGTTGACCAGTGGACTGAGATTGCCATAGATGTGAATCATGTTAAGACTGAGGATTTTCTCAAAGAAATGTAGTAATGACCAAGAGTTAGAAAAAAATCACCAGTTTAGCTACAGTGGTTATTCTTCTGGATGTGAAAACACAAGAATTCATAATGATAAAATCACAGAACTGCAAAAGACTTCTGTGTTTATATTATACCTTCTGCAGGGTTGTACTTCAGTGGTATTGAGATTAAATGTCCTCTTGAAGTTGTAAAGGCTGATAACATGCTCGTTTAGGTTGTCTAATTCAATGCAGCCTTCATAATGAGGATGGTCTAGCTTACGTGGAGGCTGCAAAATAGTGTCATCAAAAACATTCCGTCAACATCAGCTGAAAAAATTTTACATTGACATGTAACTGCTAAGACTTACTGCAACTATTAATGACACAGATTATGACATTCTAAATATCATAAAATTATTATATCTTTGTATATAATACCCAAACCATCCGATACCACCCCAGGAGTACTGTAGCACAATTTAAAGCGGAGTCATATGGATGGATTTGGAATAGTACTTAGCAGGGCTGGACAGGTTTCGTGCTGTCCTCATCAGATGAAATACCATCATGCTCCCTTCTTTGAGTTTTAGCATACTATAAGCCAGGCAGCTTCTGCAGGAAGTAGCATCCTCTTGCATCCCGTCTAGTCCTGCTGACATGGATAAACTTTTACACTGCCTTTGAAAGACTGCTAGTTCCAATCTTTACTTGTAACAACACAATGATTAACATGGAAATCTCTTTAAAAGACTAAGCAGCTCTTTGTACCCTAAAATCTGGTGGGTATCCTCCAACATAAAAGACAACAGTGTTGGGATCAAGATTTAGGAGAGTGTAATTGGTTCCACCGCCTGCAGTCAAAGTATTTTCACGCTTTGGAGAATTTGATGTTGCTGCTTCAATGTAATTCAGCTTTACATACTGGTAAATCCTAAAACCAAAACAGACAGGAAAAATATCACATCACACTAATAAAAGATGTTTTTAACAGGTTTTGGAAAAGACTGCTGTGCACTGTGGATCTTATACCTTTCAAATTTAACTTGATCCATAATGGCTTCCTCAGTTTCGCTTTGAGTCACAAATGGCTGCATATCTAATTCTACATCGCCACCTCCCAGGTTGTAGACACAAGTGAGGTGACCATCTTTCACAGCCATACCAATATAGTCCTTGGAAGCCTAAGAATAGCAAAGTAAATAATCATTAATAAATGATTAATGTTAATGAAGGCAAAATACAGCAGCACTTCCTCTGAGACATCATCATACTGTGCATGAGTCATAAGAAATCCACCCACCTAATGATGAGAATTCTTATTAAGTTCATCAGTTCTGGGAAGAAAACATTGTAATCTTATATGTTGCACTGATTCAATGAATAACGCGCTGTACTGATTCAGTGAATATAGTTATAAATTAATCGAAGAGTCTTGTGTGGTTTTTTATTTTTATAACAATAGTAGCTAAAATGATCTTCACATTTGTAACATCTCCCAGCTAAAGCCATGAAAACATGACACCTTTACTAAAAATTAGACTCAACATCTGTTAAATAAAAAAGATGGTTGGAATAACACTTCAGTCAAGGACAATGGTTCCTACTGAGGTGACTGGAAGCAGTAATTTTCCCAAACAATTCACATTTTATTTCTCCAACATACTGTATTTCACAAGTAACAATTGGAATGTTGTCAATAGATATCCTGATCAGATATTCAGGGGGTAAAAAGGTGAAGTCCAATGTAGAATAACTACCTTGAAACAGCTTTATGTGTATGCACAGGATTCACTACAGATACAGCTGCTGTCAGATAACAAGCCTTAAAAATACATAGGAACTGCATGCAGGAAATTTTAAAAAAGATTGATGGTGCTTGAGCAATCCTGAATGCACAAGCAGGTCTGTACTATTCTGCATATTCAGAAGAGAAAGAAATGAAGGGTTGAGAGGCTGAATTTTAAAAATGAAATGATCGCTGTTTTTTAATCCAACAGAGGAATTTGCAGTGACCTATATTGTGATAAGAGTCAAGGCACTGAGGCAGGAGTTGGGCTGAGTTTGCACTGACTGCTGCAGAACCTAACACTTCTGACAAGACTGTATGATGGTATCCATGACTGAGAAATAACTTCCAAAGGAGCAAAGCATCAAAGGGCAAAGCAGTCAGTCACCCAACAAGTTACTTTGCTGGTGGAGGAATGAACTACTCTTCACAAAACACTTCTGCCACCACATAAAGGCAGTTATAAAGAAATGGGTCAACAGTAACTGTAAACTTCACTCAAAATAAATCATCTCCCATCTGTTTCTCAAAGTGTGTTGTCTGTTCTAAAAATCAGATAAAATCTCAAAATATACCTACATCTTTATTACCCAGGTACAGTACAAAATTATTTGATGTCCTCTGGGTGTCGTCTTGTGTCCGAGGTTTTTGGAGAAAGAAAGAAAGTGAAGTATAGCCTTTCAGATCTTCAAGGTTGCTTGGAGGTCGAACCTCTACACCAGAGCTGCCATTAAACCTCATAGGAATAGCAACCTGTTAAGAAAAACAAAATTCAGTATGTTATAATTACTTATTGCTACTACTTATTTTACTGTTGTGTTTAATTGCAAAGTAACATATTACATATCCCAGTCATGTTACAGCTATCAATTACTACTGATTTGGAATCTGATCCTACCAAACAATATAATTAAGAAACAGACTGGATAATACAGTATTCTATATTATCAATACTTATCACAGCACTTTTTTATGCCAGACATCAATTACTCAACCCTTACAGTGCCTCTGTCAAGTAATTGTTACCTTCAATACATGGACAGGGAAGGATGTGCCCTGCAGCTCTAAAGAGCAAGCCTATGAATTATTTAGTTGTCTACATACCTATCCCGATGCTTCACTTAGCTGGACTTGACTATCTGTTGGAAATTGTAATGCACCTCTGATATTAATAAATGTCCTATTACAGCTATTGACACCATGGTCACAGATTCCTTTTATTCGTTGTAACTGTAGGCTATTTGTGATGGCCTCAGGGATGCTTCTCACGGACCCGAGACCAAGCTATCCCTTGAGCAACTACAGCAGTTGCTTAACTGGAGAAAGGGCAGTCTAATAAGAAGATGCTAATAGCTGACTGCATCCAGCTCTGGCATCCCCAATACAAGACAGACATGGAGCTGTTGGAGTGGGTCCAGAGGAGGACCACAAAGATGATAAGAGGGCTGGAGCACCTCTCCTATGAGGACAGGCTGAAAGAGTTGGGGTTGTTCAGCCTGGAGAAGAGAAGGCTCCGAGGAGACTTTATAGCAGCCTTCCAGTACCTGAAGGGGCCTACAGGAAAGCTGGAGAGGGACTGTTTACAGGGGCATGGAGTGATAGGACAAGGGGCAATGGCCTTAAGCTGAAGGAGGGTAGATTTAGATTAGATATTAGGAAGAAATTCTTCACTTGTGAAGGTGGTGAGGCACAGGAACAGGTTGCCCAGAGAAGTTGTGGATGTGTTCAAGGCCAGGTTGGATGGGGCTTTGGGCAACTTGGTCTAGTGGAGGGTGTCCCTGCCCATGGCAGGGGGGTTGGAGCTTGCCAGGGCTACACAACTTCTTTGGCAGAGTCAGCGTTCAACTGGCCATGTGTGGGTGGAGAGCCCTGCCTCTAAGCTGCAGAGCTAACTCTATCCCTGCTTGCCAAAGCCACCAAAATATACCGTGGAAGGCAAGAAGTTATTGTACAAGTAAGTATTGCAGAGATGCCCTGGAAAAAAACCTTATGGGAGGAGGATGAAGCAGGATGCTACTGCATCCACTCATTTTTATGTACAAATCATTATGCTGCCCATCATCACAGTTACTTTAAGTGCTGGGTGGTGCTGTTGAATTAAATTTACATCTAGTCTTTCACACACATTTTAACAAAATGATTTAGAAAGAGAAAGAACAAAAGTACTGCTGTGTGTCCAAACCACTGAGGTCAAGCATGATTGTAATGTTCAGGACAGACCTTATTTGCAGCATCTCTTGCCTGCTGAATCAGCTCTCTTATGCGATTTACATTCTCAGAGATGTTGCTTATTGGCATCAGCTGTTGGTTGATACTCTTGATCTTGCTGAACAGATCTGGAAGTTTGTTTGTCAATTTTTTTACTGCAATGAAAGAAAAAAAATCATTGATGATAGAAAGGAGGAGGAAAACCAATGCAAAAATATGATACCACTACTCATTTATCAGAAAAGCTGTGAGCAGGATAATGACAGAACTGTCTTCATTAGTCCTACAATACTAGGAAGCCCTCACTGAAATTAGCAGTTTATACAGAGGTCACTGTACTCCTTGAATTTGTGGCCAAAAGTATTTGAGGAAGCACACAGAAACAGCACTTCCAAAAACATAATAGATAAATTCAGGTCCAGAAAAAAAAAATCATATAGAATAAACAGGGATGCGCTCTCTAACATTATTATCCAGTGACTGTGGATGCTAGGGGAGGATGAGGATAATGGACAGCATACAGGAGTCAGGCTTACGTGCATTCCCTGAGTAGCAGGGCCACTGTTGCAGAGTGAATATTGGGGTAGGCAGACTGCTGGCCTCACTGAGTAGGGCATATCTTATATTCTTGTGTCAGGGTTGCTAGTCATTCACAATTCAGTAGTGAGCCTTACAGTATCTGGGCAGGTTTATTTCAGGAGAAAAGGAGATGCTATGAGAATTTCAATTTTCATTAAAACAGGAAACAATTTTCATTTCCTGTGATTGCAAAAAAAAAACCAAAAAAGGAGTGCCTGAAAGTGTTAGTAGACAGCTACCTATGATGCAGAAAGCCAATAAAAAGAAATCCAGATCTATTATTTTTCTAAATATGCCTTCTAAGCTGGTCTTGTAACTGCAGGGATGGCTTAGACTGCAATAACATGCAGGGCTAGCTCTTGTATTTATCTTATTTAAAATGTTTTCTCTCACTTGACTTTATCAGACATAGTTGCTGAAAGGATCAAAAAAGATGCTGTTTGGGATTGTGATTGTACCTTATTTTGTATTCAACACAGTCTCTATGTAATCCATTTCACTTAATTTCAGCTAACAGACATCTAGCCTAAGCTAATTGTCTAGGTCCCTTCCCTAGTCAATGTAGTAGAATCACAGAATCACAGAGTGGCTGAGGTTGGAAGGGACCTCTGGAGGTGATCTTGTTCAACCCCTCCTGCTCAAGCATGGCCATCTAGTGCCAGTTGCTCAGTATCGTGTCTAGACGGCTTTTGAATATCTCCAAGGATAGAGACTCCACAACCTCTCTAGGCAACCTGTGCTGGTGCTCAGTCACCCTCACAGTAAAAAAGTGTTTCCTGATGTTCAGAGGCAACCTCCTGTGTTCCAGCCTTTGCCTCAAGGGCACATTGCTGGCTCATGTTCAGCTTGATGCCCACCAGAACCCTCAAGGTCCTTTTCTGCAAAGCTGCTTTCCAGCTTGGCCACTCCCCAGCATATTCTGGTGCATGGGGTTGTTTCTCCTCAGGTGCACCGTTTCTCATTGTTGAACTTCATGAAGCTCCTGTCAGCTCATTTTTGCAGTCTGTTGAGGTCCCTCTGGATGGCAGCATGAAGCCTCTGGTGTATCAGCACTCCTTCCAGTTTTGTGCCATCAGCAAACCTGCTTAAGGGACACTCTGCTCCATCATCCAGATCATTAATGAAGATATTAAACAGAATCGGACCCAGTACTGAACCCTGGGGTACCCTGCTAGTCACTTGCTTCCAAGTCTTTAGAGACCAGTCATGTTGTCAGCTTTTAACACACACCACAGGATGGCCTGAATCACCTTCTGCTGTACCTGTCCTTTCCATTGGCAATAAAGGAAACTCAGAATACTAGCTTAGTCTAGGTACGTAGCTTTTTGATGATTAAAATTTTTTCAGTATAACTGACCATGTTCACCTAACAGTGACTTGGCAGGTCACAGCACCTGCAACAACAGATACAACACTTACCTGAATTATTCGCCTCCAGCAACGCTTTACTGAAGCCAGCACTCTGTGTGTTTCCATAGGTATTCTTCATGTTGTCCACATCTACTTGAATTGGGAGCAGTTCATCTAATATATTATCTGTGACATCCTCGGCACTTTTTGCCATGTTGTTTGCATTGGTGATGATGCTGTCAATGTCATCTGAAACACACACAAATGCACGTGCAGATTCTTATAGTAACAGATCAGAGAGGTGATCAGTAAGTAACTGACCTCTGTTTATCCCATTGAGATTATTTTGAAGAGTGACAAGATCAATTTGCAGTGTATTCTTCTTTGCATCAGCGACATCAAGTCTTTGCTTTAGGTCTTCAAGGGTTGGACCAATAGCTGCAAAACAGTGAATGCTCTGAATGAATTGTAAACAGAAATACCACCCCTCTGTCAGACAGGTGACGTGGCAGCACCAGTCTGCACTCTTACACAGCTCGTGTTGCCAGTGAGCATTGAATGAGCATTTGCACTGCAGAACAAGTACAAGACTAAGGATTTTTCTGGACAGGAGTACTGCAAAGGGGTATAGAATAATAGAGGTATGAAATCCACTTTCTTGCCTTTTTGCCACTGGAAATATCCATCACAAGATCTCCCATTGTAATGGAACTAGCCTCTTCTGGTTAAATATGTGCTGCAGACCTTTGCTGAACTGTGAAAATTCATGGTTCAATAAAAGCCTGTCATGCTGTGCCAACATTTCTACTACCACTTTCTTTCTCGGTACCTTTCAATGTCCTTTCAGTCTCCTGTGCTTGATTCAAGAGTGTACTGCTCTCGGTTTTTAACTTTGCAGCTTTTCCTGATAGGTCTTCTCTCTTCACAGTCTGGTAATAGAAGCACGGTAAGACTGCTTTAATAATTATACTAAAATTTAAAGAGTAAAAGAGATAGCCCAATCCAGTTTAAAAAACCAACCACACAAGGGCAGAGATTTCATGGGAAGAACACCACCTTAAATAAATTAGCAAGATTAATTTAAGCATAATACAACCCTGGCCTTTAGCAAGCTTCTGATAGATTTTGGGTCATTCAGAAGAAATTACTAGCACACAGCTGCTAGATATCACTCCTCTGCTGAAGAGCTCCTGGGTATTACTAGTGCAAAGTAAAAGAGAATACCTGAAATCACCTTCGGTGATTACTGGGCTTGCCTCTTTATTTTGCACTGAAAGGAGCAGTTAGTATTCATATGGACAGCCTCATCAGAAAGGCATTAACAAGCCTGTTTATTGCTGAACCAAGACTAATTCATGAACATGCAGAATACCAGCCCATATAATGGCCACAGACAAATAAGGCATGCCAGGACACATGGGCCTTTTTTTGTGCCTCTCTGATAGTTAAAATCTACTTGTAACAATTTTACCATCATTTGGCCACTTATGGGTACTTACCGATAAAGCTGAATCAGCTGCATTCCCAGCTTTGTTGGCTGCTTCCTCTGCCGCTTTGACGGCATTAATAATACTGTCATAGGCAGTAGAAGCTTCCACAGCACAGCCTACCAACTCGTCCTTCCTGGCGCTGTTCTTTATTCTGTGGAAAACAGGGTGAAAAATGCAGCCTTCTGCAAAGACTGTGGCCTATGAGAAGTATTCTGAATCCACCTGAACTCAGCATTTTCTAATTAATGCCAATACAGAAAATGTTTTTCAGTTAGATCTGTAATTTCATTCCGCAAAAATATCAAACTTAGAGGCAGACCAATACGAAAAGGTTCTTCAGAAGATAAGTTCAGGTTCTTGGAAAAGGACAACTGTCGGCCTCCAAAGCAGTATTTAAATGATTAAGATTGTGAGAATTCACCAAGGCACAAGGTCAATAAGCCACCTCCATCACAGCCCCACAAACACACTTCAGTTCAGAGAACTGCTGCTTCCAGATAATCTCTGGCTGCTCCACCATCCTGCAGGAGCAGCAGATGGAGCACAAGATGGGGCAACTACATGACCCTTGGGCTTTTCCCAAGAACCAGTGTAGCAGCTCTGGCACCAGAAACAACAGATGAAATCTCTTGTACTTACTCCCCATGAGCTATGCAACTGCCCAATATTAGCTGCCTTGTATTTGTGAGAACAGGGTTGTCTTAATTGAAAAAAATCACACTGAAAACTAGCAAAAAGTTAATTCATTTTTTTAACCAATAATTTTCCAGCTGAATTAGGTATTTTGGAATTTAACTTTTTAAGTTAGTGTAAAGACAAAATGCAAACAATTTGCACAGGAAAGAAGAATTAGGGTTTCACTTTTTTTCATTTTACATTGATGTAGCATAGAAGGCCTTCAAAACCTCACTCATAATTCCAAGGTAAAGTACAAGTAATGGAGAGAAAAACATGTGATTCATATCAAGTTTCTCATATTTTTGCCTTTCTAGAAGATTTCTTGAAGGAGAAAACTACAGGAATTCTTTTCGTCACTAATGCTAAAAAGGCCTGTCTGAAGACTCTGCCAAGACAACATTTCTTCCAATTATTTGTGCCAACTCATTGACATCATAAAAGTATCCCTGAGTATGAGTACAGGAAATAACACTACAAAAAAAGATATTCTAAACATCTTCCCATTCTATCCATGAGGATTTTCTCTTATTAGTAAGAAGTTAATGAAGTGTTAATGCAGTAATACAAAGCTGTATTATGGGAGTCTCCCCTTCTGGGGCAAAAAAAAAAAATCAGGAAAAATACAGGAAGACCTGATTTGTGGAGGGAAAAAGAAAACATCTGTACATCATGAAGATGCAGAAAAAGACAAACCGAATTTCTTTCTAACTTTACACATGGTCATTAAAGCAAATGAAGTTACAGACAGAGCATTGCAACCATGCATGTTATGTACAAAAACTGCTCATTTACAGAAATAGCAACATACTCTTCCAGTTGTTTTGCCAAGTCTTGCAAAGATTTGGCATGTTCCTCAGCCCTCACCACCAATGGTTCTTTGCTTGCTGACAAGGACTGATTTGTCAGCTTTTCCTTCATATCCCTCCTTGCTCCATCCAGCTGAGCAGCCAGGCTTTCATATTCCTATGGGTTTATAAAGAGAAAATTTTATTTGTATTCACACATGTTTGATTTTGTCCTCGTCTCCTTCAGTGTTACATATACCTCGCACCCGAGGAGACCAAGGGGAAAAACATTCCCTTCCAACTTGCTCTGCAAGTTAATGGAAATAACTGCTAGTCATACATTATGCTTCTAGATCCATTACATAAAAACTGAGTCGGACCAGAGACCCTTCTAAGCCCAGTATCCTGTCTCTGACAGTGGCTAAAAGCAATTGCCCAGAAAAAAATACAAGAATACCACAATCACTTATGGTATTTCTCACAGATATTCTCCCAAATTCAAATATCTGCAGCTCAGTGTCTTCCTCAGACACATCACAAGCCTCAACAAGCTTTTCTTATGGAAACCTGTGCAGACAGGCTCCTCTTACACCCAGGATGGGTTGTGAGATCCTTCCCTTTGTGTGAGGCTCAGATAAGCCTCATGTCCTAGCCACTGAGCTATGCTACCCATTACAGTGACAGCAAGACGTTGGGGTTTTTAACCTTAAGAAGGTTAACTATACCTCTTTGCTCTTTTGCAATAATCCAAGTACACTGTTAGCTTGTGCCAGAGAAGATCGAGCAGAGCTCAGAATATCCAAGATACCATTCTGTTGTATATTTGTCTCCTCAATCCGTTTCTGAGGAAAAATGAAAGGTTCAATAACATGTGACTGGGTTAAAAATGAGAGGTAGGAAAAAACGTATTTACCTAATCTAGTTTGCAGTAGGACTTACCAAAGGTGCTATCGCTGTGTTAATCAGATGTCTACACTGTTTAGGGACTAATGCTATCCTACTGATTAGAAGAGTGAGAAAACTCAGGAGTCTGCAGTAGTACGGCATACAGCTGGGCAGCTGGCTAGAGTAGTTCAGTTATTAGCACTCAAAGTAAAAGCAGTATGGGTCAGCTGAGAGTAACTGTCAGGACAGGCCATCTAAGTGTCTGATCTCTCAAACCTGGAAACTTCAAAAATAGCTCCCTGGTAACTACCCTGATCTTTCCTGTTCTCTCAAAGGCAGAAATAAAATGCTTACACTATCCCTTCATCTGGGGATCTCACCAGAAAGGGGGTGTGAAACTTCCCCATCTTTTCCTCTTGAAGGCTCTGAGGGGAATGAAGGTCCTCAGTCTAGAGACAATCCACAGCATAGCTTTAGGGTAATGGCACACTACAAACACAGCCAGACAAGCAGTGTTGCAGGTAAGGATGCGTTAGCTCTCTTCAGCTGGGTTTCTATCATTCTAACGTGTCAAATCTCTACCAGAGAGTGTATCAGGAGAATTATGAGTTGTACAGATGCATCCATCTTTTAACACAACTGTGCATACTTATGTGGCACATGTATTGTACAGTCCATGCACATAAAGGTACAATTAAATATTGAAAGGGACAGCTGAACGTAGAAATTCTTTTGTTCAAGCAGTGTTGGCAAACTGGATGGACATGAGTGTGCTAAAACAATGACATATTTCAGCAAAACCACAATAAATTTAAAAGAATGGGTCCTGCAACACACCCTTATTTCTTGTACTATTTCACCAGCTCTGAAAATCAAGTACTGCTCAGGAATGACAGCTGTTTCTTGTCACCTTTCTGATGAGACCTCAGAAGCAGTTCTGTAGAATATTAATCCCAAATAGTTTAACAGTATTGCACACATTATTGCTCCCATCTTTCATGGCTGTTAAAGCCAAATATTTTAAGGAACTTACTACAAAAAGTACATCAGCATCAGGAATTTGATCTAGAATAGGAAATAAAAAAGGCTAGTGGCCCCTGAAGAGAAGGGCTAGGGCACAGACCCTCCTTCTACGCTCTCATCAGAGCTATGTCTTGGTCACGCTATCCTGATCACATTAAGAGGCCACAAGTGGGAGTAGACTACATTTAAACCTGTCCTTACATGCATCAAAAGATGGAAAGAGGCCATGGAGAAAGTCTAAAGAATTAGTGCTACTTGGCTTTGCAAGGTCAAAAGCAGCAATCAAAAGCACTTATCTCCTGAGGTTTAACTTTCTTCTCCCAAACCCTGACATTACCTTAATGTCTTCCAACAGAACTCCATTATCTCTGTTTAAGTTTTCAGCCTGCTTGATTTGTCCTGTTGCCTCATTCAGAGCTTCACGAAGGTCAGTGATTTTGGATTCATATTCATTCAATGAATCTCTCACAATTTTAATAAGCCCATGATTTTCTCGGTGGTACTTTTGTAGCTCATTCTTAATACGTGCCAGTACTGTAATATCAGGAGCAGAAAGAAAAGCTTTGTTCAGAAAAGAAGGGAACCAAACTTCCTTCAACAGGCCTTGACATTTAGGATCAGAAAGCTATGGTTGTGTGAAATACTGAGCGTCCTTTGCAGCGCTAATTTCAGTGTTACTATAGCAGAGATGCTGTTCAGCATCTCACTGGATCAAATCTACTCACAAGTTTGCTGCTGCAGACACAGAGCACAGATAAACATTTATTTGGCTGTTTCTAAATTAAGTAAGGATGAAGATGATCTGCAAATACTGAATAGTTTTGCTTTTTTAATATGTAATGAACACAATTTCATCAACAAGTTCATCTACAATGTAGATGTCTATATCTGCACTAGTCATCAAAACCCTCTAATCAATGAAGAGATACAGGCACATTTAATCTCAAAGAAGGTAGAAACATAAAAGAGGCCAAATGAATCACACCCTTAAGAACGCCTACTTCACTGCCTACAAGATAGGATGTAGAAGAGTTACTCAGAGGTAGGTATCAAAGTCCAAAGTTAGGGGAAATTACTATCATTTGTTAAGGTCTTACACATTCCTCAACTATGCTCCTGGTTAGGAGATAAGCTTGTGACTTTGCTGTTCTTGCTGTCTCTAATGTCTGGAATCAGGTTCCTGAATGTCCCAGTCAAACACATGCAGAGAACATAAAAGGGAGTACAGCTAGTGCAACTAGAACTTCTGAACTTCAGAAGTGCTGCATATATTAGGATCAGCTACATCTTTACTTACTGAGATTGATCCAGTTATGAAAAAAGGATCTACTGGGTTTCCTCCCCAGCTTGACTCAGTTTCTTCCATAACAAACTGAAAATGCCTTTAAATCCCCTCCAGAACTACCACTTTCCTTTTGACTTATGACCACTACAGATCCCAGCGATACATTGCAATACACCCCTCCCTACACTTCATCCCAAACAATCAATAATGCTTGAGATTTAAGACTGATCTTTCTAAAGAGTAAGAATCTGAGAGAACACGTCCTTACGCAGCTGAGCTGCTGTTCTCTCCTTCTCCGCCTCTGCTTGAAGCTGGCCAAAGTTGCGGTTTCGCATCTCCGTCATCATGCGTTGAGCTTCAGCCAGTTCCTTGGCAGCATCTCCCAAGGGCAAGTTGTTACCTTCTGCATTTGTACCATCTATTTGTTCCAAAAGCACTGAAAAAAAGTATTGTCAAAGAGAGGATGGGCTTAAGCCTATGTAAAAGACTCAAATGACAGGGACGGTCTCTTTTCTGAAAAAGACATGCCTATTCCTGAATTCCTTCATGAAGCAGTTCCATTTTGCATTAATTGTGTTAAGCTGAAAAATATCCCATGTCGCACGACCAGACCTAGTAAGATGGCATCAGGCTTGAAATTTGTCCCATATAATCAAGTTCACAGCAATAATTTTAAGCTTCTAACTTAAAAGAGCCTATGATAGCAACCCAGACTAAAGTCAAACTAAAGTCAGGATCGTCAATTTGTTGCTCTAAATGTCCCTGTGGTAAAAGCTTCTCTGCCCCTATTCACTATATAGGGAAGGTAGGCTCCTAAACTAACATATATGAGATTTCTAATAGGAAGAGTGAATTCCACAATAATGTCTAAATTCTGATTTATGAAGTTGTTTTCTAAGGAAACCTCTCTTGTTTAATTAAGAATATTGTAAATAAACTGAAAAAATTCCATAAAACAAAACACGTCATAGAGTTAGAAACTATTTTTACCTTGTATATTGTTAACAACTATTTGTATTTGTGAAACCAAATCCTTTCCTTTCTGATGAGTTTGGCCAAAATTATTAAATAATATCTCAGCTGCTTTATAGTTCATTTCAGCCTAGCAAGGGAAAAAAAACCTGATTAGATTAAAAATATCTGGATACAGCACGCTAATATGCAGTCAAGAGATGTGTATTTTTAAATTGATTTGGTAAGTCACCTTTTCCTGGAGAGCATTTACATCATGATTTAGGTTAATGAATTCTGTCTCCAACTCGTCTACCTTTGAACCCTGATTACGAACAACAGAACGGTAATTGTTCAATAAGACCTGAAAAGATAGAAGAAAAAAAATCCAATAAATCACCCATACACAGGAGGCAAAAAAGCAAAAATTCACTGGGTTAGATCTTTACCCAAGCTAAATAAAAACATCATTACTGACATGAAGGCTGACCAATTGCTGCCCAAAACCAGCATATATAGCATCTGCTATTCCAACCAAAGATAATTTTTTTTAGGATGAATTTTGGTATTGGCAATTGGAATGTTGGGGTTTTTCAGTAATGCAGAGACATGAAGTCCTGGAAAAAAGCAGAGCTATAGGGAAACCTCAGAGATGTAGCTTTCAAGGTGAGCAGGCCTCAAAGAAAGCAGAGATACTGATTCTCTTCCAAAGCATGACATGGAAACAATAGCTGTCTTCTAACAGGTGAAGCCCAGTGCTGTCAGCATCTGGTATTTGAAATCAAAAGTTGATGTATGTTTCCTTGCCAGTTGACAAAACGATGGCATAAGTTCCTAGGTTCAGGTCTTATCTGCTTAATCTGAAATCCACTTTTCTGTTTGTATGTGCCTACCTTTAAGTCCTTGATGCGTGTTTCCAGATGTCTCAGCTGCTCCAGTGTGTGGGTACTTGCATGGACGTTTTGCAGCTGAGACTTAATCAGCTGAAGCTCGTCACCTATTGTGCTCAGATCCTTCAGCAGTGTAATTACACAGCTATCACAAGCTGGAGGGAGCACGAGCAAAGGAAAACAATACATATTATTGATATTCGGTGCAGAGAACGTTTCACTGAGTACATTAATAAATGAGAAGCAATGGAAACACTTTGATGCTTGTCACCTGGTGCTGCCTGAAGAACGAAGGCAACAACAAAGCCCAGAGTATAAAGGAGAGTGACCAAAGCCAGAAATAAGGAGGAGGCCCCATTTACATCTGGCTAGCTGACCACCTCTTTTAGCATTTTTCCAAGTGTTTGGTTGAATGTTTCCTTTTAAAAGTTTCATTACAGGACACCTCCAGTCCTTTTTAAACTCTGCCACCCTTAAAAAAGTCATCAGCATGTATTCAAAGCCAGCAGAAGGCAATCTAAGTGCAGTTCTATTTTTTATTACTTACGGTCACAATCTTCATTGGGATCCACATCTTTTGGTTCGTTATTGAAACATTCTGAAATCACAAGACTGCCATCAGTAACGCAAGTTTTCTTATGAAAATACCACTATTGCATTTTTGCCCTCACTTTTCATGGTCGGCAGCCATTAAAACACAGTGCTGCCCTTTCATCAATCCATACCCACTGTGAACAAACTGAAATTCCCAGAAGGCCTGAACATGCCAAATCATTCAGCTCCCACTTATGCCTTGCTGAAATCGACACCTTTTTCATCCCTCTAAGGAAACTGACTCTAACCCCTCCAATATATGCTACTTGGGTAGCAGCAGGAGGCTCTCTCACATCAGTTGTGCTGAAGGTATTGCTAGAATTTGCCTTGAATAACACCACAGGGATTGGAGCCAAGACTATATTGTTATAGCATTTTATCCAGGACATAGGTTCAAACCCCTTTATCTACTTTAGCATCCACGTTCAAACCACAGATTCTGATTCCCTGAAGGATGTCTTACCCACAAAGAACTGAGAAATGTTTATGGTCTTCCTTCATACCTGTCACAGCTTGCAAGATTAAGGGATTAATCAAGCTTGAGAGAAATCCACAGTGTATGCACAGAAGGAGGCATTGTATGTTACCCAAGGCATGGAGCTTGGACCACAGATACAGGTCATATGTAACAAACATTGCCCTCAGACTTTCCAGTAAGCTAGCACAAGTGACTGCCTGTCCAGTGTGCTGTTTTGGCTTGTTGGTTTGTTTTACAAATCCCGTTACAAGAAGCTTAATACTCTCCAGGTGCACGTGGGATTGTAACATCCTGGGATCCTAACTTCTAGGAGGCAGGAGAGGAACTGGCTCCTAAAAATGCCGTCATACAGGACAAGAATCTCCCTGTCTAGATGCCCAAGTCCCTTTTACAGGCTTAGTCCTACTGCCAAACTCTCATCTCCTCTTGAAAATGAAAAGGGCTGTGCATATCTTTTACTCTGAAGGAAAAGGATGCACTCAGGGTCTAGGCTGCTGCTGTCAAGAGTCAACAACAGCATGCAACTGTGAGAGGGTACAGTGATAAAATTGGACCTGAACTTTAACAGCAGCATGAAACAGCCTGGAATAAACTGCCTAGCTGTGCCATTTCCTTTGGCACTAGTACATTAAGTCATCAGGAAGTTAAACGGGATTGGTAGTGAGCGCTGCTGCCAAAAGGACACAAGTCACAAAGAATATATTTGTAAGAAAATGAAGGAAATTATTCCAAAATTCAAATACCCGTTCAGTTCTGCTGTTGTATAATTCAGCTAACACGAGACAGATTTCAGCTGTTGCTGTGAAATGCCAATTAAATAAAACCATTATTACAGCTTGTGCACAAACAACATCAACCAAGAAATGGTGAAATGAAAAAGTCTGGCCAAGTGCCGAACATCATGCACAAGAAACCTGCTAGAACATGCTGTGCTGATGATCACACAGGGTTTTATTCCTAATGGGGAGAAAGAGACGGCTGATCAGAATATATAGTTGGAGACAAACTGAAAACAGACTGGCTTGTTGAATTTCGCCCTACGGATTAGTTTTTCCTAGCAAACTCTTGCTTCAAAAAGAAAGGAATGACAAAACATCAAACACTGCTTGGATCTGTTCCACACAAGGTATAAATATAATAAAGATGTATCACTTCAATGATTAAATATGAAATGAGGACCAGCTATTGAAAAATTGCATCGGCTGCCAACAGCGGTTGACATCCCTTGCTGGTTTTCTAATTTCTGTGACCAAGGAAAGATAAGGTGCTCCTTGGCAGTCATTTGAATGCAGTTTGAAGAGCAGTGCAGAGAAATGAAGAGCATGGAAATATTAGGAGTTATTAGTTTGACACTTCACTAACATCTGGGAGGAAAAGCTGCATACAGGGAAAGAAAAGTGTAATTTTATTGGGGAATGAAAATATGGGAGAGTCAAGGTCCTTTTCAGGAGCAGTGCTTTGCATGTTTCAATCCCAAGGGACTGAAGTGAATTGAGGTAAAGACAGTCTGAGGAATGCAGGCTCAGGCCCTCTACTTCAGAATTATAACAGATAAAGCGAACATACGTCAGTGGCATAATATTCTTATAAGAGCTTACTAGTAGTGCAGTGCATGTGTGACCGATACCAGGAAAATCACGGATGTCTTAGATGCAGAATGGTCTACGGCAGGATTTATAAAACATCCTCCTGAGTCGAGTCCTAACTTCCACTGTAAACACAGTTAGTTTGGATACCTAAGATGGCAATGCCTGATGCAGACTCTGAAGATGCCACTGATCTGTCCCAAATACATTTTAAAAAGGCATATTGAGACTGCTCAGTTTCGTAAGCCCATGACACATACCAGCAAGATATGACTTAACCATGTCAGAAGAGGAACCGTAATGCATTTAAAAACATACCCGTGAAACAGAAAAACAAAATGAAATTGGTAGTATTTATGAAGGGAAATACATGATAAAATGGCTTACAAGGGTGAACTCAATTACTCACGACAGCCCTTGTATTACCATGGTGTCATGTTTTAGGAAACCTTACTTTTTGTTAAAAATGATCTGCGTTTCCTATAAGTCTACACCTTTCCTTTGTTTCAACTGATCTAAGTACCTTCCCTTTCTGCTTCCCAGAGAGAAAACAACGCTTCCTTCCATGTTCATAGCCTCTCACGTACCTCCAGTCAGGTGGTCACAGCTAGCCAGCTGTCCATTATTATTACAATTACATTTCTGACAGTAGCCTCCATATTTTTGTGGATTTCCAAAATATCCTGGAGCGCAGCTAGATGAAGAGATACAAATAATTTTTATTAAATCATTGAAGCTACTTTTGTGAAATATAATTTCTCTTGAAAAAAAACCCAAATGGTTATTCTCCTGAAGAAACTTTCAAGATCTTTTGATTTCATGCCTTGACTTAGACAAAAAGAGTATATTTTTGGTTTACAGTATCTTCTGCACTATGCTAAAAATATCTTTCCAACTACTGCAGAATTTTTTTCTAAAAATAAAAGAACTCCCACAATGCTCACACAGGAATAATTCAGTTAATCTGAAAAAATACAATGCACATAGATACATACATACATAGAGAATTTGACAAGGCTTAACCCAGCAAACCACGTCATTCCAGTCTGTGATCCCACCAGAAAACACATATTAAGGAGGATCATACTGCAAGCATATGTTGAGATTTCAAACAGCAATGGCACTGAATGACATTATCACCCTTCTGCTGGATGGCACCTCCTCTTACCATCTGCCAGCAAAGCAGTTCATGTGAGTGATCCCTAAATATTTTATAGGTAAAATATATTGTCCAGACTGGCTAGCTAATATTCCTATAAGTCACTCTGTTGTAAGGTCTATAGGTAACGCACAAAAAGCCACAATGAGTAGCTGAGGTATGGCTAGGTCTGGAAGAGAACATCTGTCTATAGTGTCAAAGGTAACAGTCTTGAAGCACAAGACAATGCACTACTGGTGGTAGTGTCTTCAGGTTAGGCATCATGACATATTGGACTCATGTTTCCAAACCAGGCAACACCATTATACTTAAATTCCCCTCTGGATTTGAAACTCAGGGAAACTGCTTCCTCTGCCTGCTCTACCTCTTGTGCTTTGACAAACCGCGGCAATGTTCCAACGAAAGAGATGATGGTTTCAGCGTTGTGTTTGCACACTCCATCCGTGGGGCACATCAGAATGATTTGGGATGAAGCGTATGATGTTAAACGTTGCTATGATTGCTGTTGGATAACTATGAACACTGAAGCACCATCAGGTATGTTGGAGGAAATGAGAAAATGTTTGCAACCGGAAAAGGGACTAAGTAAGTGGGAGTCATTACTATCGGAAAGAGT